ACACACTCTCACACTCACACACTCACATACACACACACTCACACACTCACACTCACACACACACACACACACACACTCACACACACACACACACACACACTCACACACTCTCACACTCACACACTCACATACACTTATACAACATACAGTGAGCAGAAGCTGTGAAGCTCCAAAAGGACATGTAATATATCATATAAACCAGTATTTATTCAGTTTCACAGTACAGTAATGACAATTTAGGGCTGGAATGAGTTTAATCGTCATTAAAAAAAATCACAATGTAACAAAAACTGTTGTATTACAGTATCATATAACATATAAAATCAAGGTGTAACATCTTTTTTTTTCTTCATCAACTTTTTTTGGGTAAACTTTTGGAATCATACAAATGTTTGTGGTTAATTAAATAAATAGTTTTTTATCAATATTTTGGATTATTTGGATAGGTGTTTAGGAATTTACGTATCAGAGGACCAGGGTTATTATCGTTAACTAAATCTAAAACTCAAACCATTAAAAAATGTTACTTGAAATAAAATAAAACTTTCCGCTAGCTGCCAAAACAACATCTCATTTTCTTTTAGTTCAAATAACTCAAACGGGAATAAACATTTATTAAATTAATTTAAAAAAAATAATAAAAATGACAGACACACCACCAAATTATTAAAACTTTAACTAAGTTTCTTTAATAAAAAACTGTTGTTGATGGGCATTTTTTTGTTACATTGTGACATTATTATGATAAAACAAATAAAAAAATGTTTGTAGAATTTAATTTTTAACAGTAAAATTAAATATAATTTCTTAAGGGCTCGCTGTTATTTTCAGCCAAAAAAGTTTGATGGTTTAAAAATAAAGAAATTAATACAGCCTTAAATATTAGTATTGTAATGTAAAATCAACTTATTAATATTATTATTATTTATACAGTGAAATATTGCAAAAGTAATATGTCTTATTCTGTTTATATATTTTTAATTTTTTTATTTATCATTTATATATAATTTTTTTGTGGAGGAACTAGTAATCAGCACTACTAGCTGGACTGTTCAGCTTGTGAATCCTGATGGTTCTCTCAGCACACAGGAAGTCTCTGCGCACTCACTTCCTGCTCTGGTGTGAAAACCTGTCGTGTAAATGCGGCTCTGGCTCTGGATAGCGCTCTGCTGCTGCTGTAAGCAGGCGGTTTGGTTGGTTAAAAATAGTTTTGTAATTATAGGAAATTATTTTTGCTGCGTGTTTCTCCTGAACGCTGTGCTAATTTGTGGTCAGGCGTTTTGCCATCAAACCATTTCTGTGTGCTCAGAGCTGACAGACGGCAACACGACAGACACACACACACACACACACTCACACACACACACACACACACACACACTCACACACACACACACACACACACACACAGACAGACACTGTAAAACACATAAAAATTACAAAAACACATAAATAAATAAACATGTATTTAATGCAATTTCTTTATTTTTAAACGTTAAACCATCAAACATTTATTTTGACTGAAAACCACAGACAGCCCTTAAAGATTCAATTACATTTAATTATATTATTGAATCTTTAAGGGCTGTCTGTGGTTTTCAGTCAAAATAAATGTTTGATGGTATAACGTTTAAAAATATAGAAATTGCATTAAATACGTTTATTTATTTATGTGTTTTTGTAATTTTTATATTTTTATTATATAACCAACTTTAAAAACTTAAAAATGAGAAATGTTGCCTAGGCAACTAACTCAAATAAAAAAAAAACATTTAAATTGAAGTACTAAAATTACTAAAACTTAATAAAATATTAATTAAAATAAAAATATAAAAAAATAATAATAATAAAAAGGACAAAAGCACATACAACAAACTGGTAATATTCTGCAAAGGACCTTCATTTGTGAACTTTTATTTTAAAATGTGTACATTTATTTAACACTATACTATGTGTTATATTACTTTGGCATGACATTTCAGAAAACTAGTTGTTGGAGCAAATAAAAATATATAGTTTCCATTCACAACTATCTAAGTTTACCCGCTATGATGACGTCTGCTTGTGAGAAATGTGGAAAGGATGTCTACTGGAATGAGTTGAGTCACTAGTGAGCTGTGGTTCGCTGCGGATGCTGTCTGTGAAGGCCACGACTGAGAGGCAGATCAGTAAGTTTGGTGTCAGAGTCTGAAGCAGGAATGTGTTTGTGTGTCAGATCACAGCCGTGTGCAGAGAAGCGGCTCTACAGGCGCTGCAGGAGGACATCACAGCCCAACATGTGAGCGCCGGACACTTCGACAGCGCTCTGAACACCGTCAGACCCCGAATCCCTCAGACGCTCCTGCAGACGTACACCAACTACCAGCAGAAACACGGAGGACCACGCGTCTGACACAGCCTTCATATGATACTGTACACACAAACAATAAAGACACGTTTCTACTTATTATTGCTGTTGACTTGTTGTGTGTGTGTGTGTGTGTGTGTGTGAGAGAGAGAGAGAGAGAGAGTGTGTGTGTGTGTGTGTGTGTGAGAGAGAGAGAGAGAGTGTGTGTGTGTGTGTGTGTGTTTATGGTCATCTGGGCTTAAAGAAGTTACAGATCTATAAAGGTTTTATTTGATGACAGAGCAGTGCTTTATGGTTTTGTGCTGTAAAGCTTTACTCACCTGCACCAGCTCTTAACATGCATGAAAGATTATTGTCATTTATTTGTGGGTGTGGCCACAAATATGATTTGAGGTCACAGGAGATCATTTTTAAATTCCACAAATATTGTTTTATGCTCCTGTAGATTGCCTTCATTTGCTTTAACCCAGAAACTAAAACACCTAAAGAAAAACGTCTAAAGAAGAAATTAGCATTAAAAAACATTAAAGTTATATGAGCAAAAAGCCTGCAGTGCTGCGCATTGATAACTAAAGCTACTAAAAATTGTTTTCTTTGCTGAAATAGAGGGAATAAAAGAAAATATAAAAATTTTATGAAAAAACTTCAACTTAATAACCTAAACAAAAATGAGAAATGCTGCTTTTGCAACTGAAATAAAATAACTACTAAATATTACTAAAACTGAAGTAAAAATGTATTTTAAATAATAAAAAGGACAATATTATTTAGAAGGACAACAAAATTTAAATGAAAACTGACAATATGAAAATAAAAGTTAATTCAAAATATTAATACTATAATGTTATAATAGTTACTAAAACAACACCGGTGCTATTAAAGTTGTTATTATTAATAATATATAATATATGTCTATAATAGTCTATAATATAATATTACAAAATATTATTTCATTTATTTTTTGCTTTTTAATATATATATATATATATACTTTGTAATTCTTATGTAACAAGCAATATAGTAATGTCAAACTAAATGTCAAAATAATTGTCATCGCTGCCTCTCAGGAGGAGTTGTGTGTGTGTGTGTGTGTGTGAGTACGCCCCCCCACACACACACATAAGCACACGCACACACACACACACACACACACACATAAGCACACGCACACACACACACATAAGCACACGCACACACACACACACACACTCGGTGAGGGGGTTGAGCTCTTAAGGTCGCACCAGCGCTGCTCGTGTTTTTGATCTGATGTTTTCGAGATGTTTTACTGGACAAAAGCCTTGAAAACTTTTGATGAGAACTGATTAAGTTACATTTTCAATATCTAACAGTTTAGTGCACATCGCCTTAATGACAATCAGTGCAATTTGAGACTAATACTCAATAGCGTTAACCATTACTAATACTGCATATCTGAATCAGAAACAAAATAATAATCCATAAAACACTTTATTACAACACACACGAGTGTAACGGGGTGAAAATGCAGCAAATGTTCAGACGCTGATTGCGTGCGTGACGCGCCGCGGTGGCGCTCAGCAGCAGATGCGCGTTAGTTTCACACGATCCACCTTAAACCCAGAGCTCGTCCGCCCTCCTGCATCTGCCCCATGATCCTCTTTCATTCATCAGTGTGTGTGTGTGTGTGTGTGTGCGTGTGCGCAAAAACAGCGCACGCATCTGATCCGACACACTCACGCAGAGTCACCGGACAGACGCGCACTGCGCTAAACCAGCAACTAACGCGCTTGATTCCTGGATTTAGCCGGATTCCTTCTGCTTTGCCCCGTGGAGTTCCCTCTGGATGTTACGCTCGCAGTCATGCGCTGATTTCTGGCCTCGTTCAGGACATATTGATGGATGTTTGGCACATGGACTGATGGATTTGACATTATGGGAGTCTGTCTGTAGGTACGTATCATTCCTCTCTCTCTCTCTCTCTCACACACACACACACACACACACACACACACACATCCATCGGTGTTATTTAATGCGGAATAAAGGCAGGATTGGATGGAGATCGCGTGTGCATCTGTGAAACCGGAGCTCTTGCGTTTATTCAACTCTCGTGTATTACTCACAACTTATGTTCATAATCATATTATGCGCTCCAGGCTGTGTGTGTATGAGTGTGTGCGTGTGTTTGAGCCTACACACACACACACACACACTCCTCCCCCAGCGGGCTTGTTTTCATTCATAAGTTTCCTTTTTCTTGTAGTTCTGCGTTTTTTTTTTCGCGAACGCGTTTTATGTTTTTACGTATTAATTACATTTCTCAAAGATGCACGGATACAAAACAATATAATATTAAACACATTGTTGTTTAATATTATATTGTTATAATATTAAGTGCACCAGGAAAAATATATTTGCATAAAAAAAATAATTGCTGATTATTTTTATTGATATTAAAACGCGTTAGTTGCGCAGCCGATATTAACGCAAAGTTTTCCAATCTGTGCTTTCCAATTTGCATGCATATTGGGTTCTCTCCGTCCGAACCTCTGAACTGAAGAGTAAAACGAAGCCTCGAGGAGTTTCGGACTCGTCCCGCATCATAAAGCGCGTGAAGCTCTGTGTTTGATTTGAAGGCTTCCTGCTCTGTGTGGCTCTGCATTTTAATGTTAACCAGCCATACACATGCAAATCAGGACGGGAAGTGAACTTTACTTCAGAGGTCGGTACAAAGTCTTGTTAATGGTCAACTCTCTCTCTCTCTCTCTCCGCTCGGGGGTTAAATGGATCTGTGTATAGAAGGAAAAGAGCTCGAGACCTTCATTTCACTCACTCACACACACACACACAAACACACACACACACTCTCTCTCTTTCTCACACACACACACACACACACACACACACACACACTCTCTCTCTCTCTC